ATCTATCTATCTATCTATCTATCTATCTATCTATCTATCTATCTATCTATCATTTATGTGTCTGTTTATCTAACTAATGAGATGGGATATATCTATATTAGACATTGGGAGTTGAGAAAAGAGGCTGAAGAAGGAGGCCTTAAGTTGTCATTGTCAGGTACTAGGCAGCCTGCTATCAAGTAAATGCAGAAACTTCATACAAGTTAAATTGCAGAGGCAGACATTTGTTTTAGTTCCAGTTCTAAAGTCTGCTCTCTTCACCCCTGCACAGCCTGCTTCCACTGAGTATAAGGTAGATCACTTTCCTTTGATTGCTCCATTCTTTATAAAAGCTACATGTAAACAGGAAAGGAAATACTGGATTACTTTTAGGATGTGGTTAAGAATCCACTTTAAAATTAAGTTTTGCACATATGACTGTTTTTTTTTTCAGTATCCCATAGATAATTTCTTTAACGTCAACCTAGCTTATTTTTAAAATTATCACTACACTTCACATGCTGTCAGGGTTTGAAAAATATCAATGATATAACACATTAGAGCATTTCACTACACACATTCTCTGGCTAATCAAATTTCTATTTCAACTGCAATTGTCTCTTCCTACCACACTAAAGTGGATTAATTTAACAAAGGCTTTCATGACGGTTCTGTTGTATATTTATTGGTTACTCCTTAAATTAGAGACAGCATGTATGTATAGCTCCTTTGATGGGAACTATGGGTATTATCTTCCAGTTCAAACCCTTAGCTAGGATGAAAGTTATTTTAAAGATCTTCTTCTTGTGTCTACCATAAACATACCCCTTACAAAAATGAGAGGTGCCATTCAGATACCTGAGTGCAAGAGGCACTCTTGTGCAACTAGAAAACTCTGGTTTATGTGAGAACTTAGTACCTAGCACCATGACATCATAGATACCTATGTCTTTATAATTTGTATAATGGTATGAGAAAATTAGGTGGGTGAATACAGAGAAAGTAAAAAGAAGAAGAGACAAGAGGGGGACGGAGAGGAGAGGAAGAGACAGGATGGGGGGAAAAGAGAGCAGATAGAAGGGGGACGAGGAGGGGAGGGAAGGAGAGAGGATAGAAGACAGAAGAGGGGGAAGGGAAGAAGAGGGGAGAAGAGAGTCATTTAAAATAAAAGAAGACAGAAAAAAAAATTGAGAGGTGGATAAGTAGGAGAGGGGAAGAAAGGGTAGAAGGAGAAAGTGGAAAGGGGAGTGGGAAGAACGTGGAGGGGATTAAATGGTGAACATTTGGCCATATTACTCTTGTGAAAGGAGGCATTGAAGCCTGCTCGAGGGATGTTGGCATCTGAGATGAAGCGGATGTGCATGTACTCTCCAGTTGACCGGATAGGCCCAGGAATATCTTTGCCACACAGGACAGCCAGTGGCTGGTTGAAGTTATTGTCTCCTGTGGTCAAGGAGGGAAATGTCAGTACAGAAAACATGGTCTTAAGAAGTCACTCCACCATCATTTGCAGCCCGGCTAAAACTACTCACAAATTTTCCTCAGAACACCCAAGTTCCTAGGAACAGATGTTAGTGTTCTCAGCAAGAGGGACAGCCAGCTTTGCATCATTCAAGCTCCAACTTGCCATGCTCTGCCTGCCCTCTTCTTAACCCTTTCAATAAAAATCTTTGGGGCAAGTCTCCCTGTCTTCCTAAACCTGGCTGCCAGTTCTTCCTGACACTAAAACTCAGAAGGAGAGGATGTCAGGCTGGAAAGGGATCAAGGACCATGTTTATGTGAGTGGCAATTAAAGGCTCTGATATCAGCTACTATGATGGCGGAAGGTCAAATATCTGAGGGAGACAGAAAGGCTGGCTCAACCTCAGAGCTGGGCTTATGTTCAGAAACCATTCACCAGAGAGTCTGAAAGCTTTATCCAATCATTTCCTCAGCCCGGAAATAATTTTTTTGATAATTTTTAAATTTTTGCTTTGGTTTGTGGTAAAAGGACCATAGCTATATCAAAGAAGATAAAAGAGAGTTCCAGCAACTGTGGCCCCCAGGAAGAGACACAAAGGGAACTCAGGCCATAGTGTGGCCCCTTTCCTTTTGCTTCCTTTGTATTTAAGTTTTCATCAAACCAACTGTCAGCTGTCTCAGCCAGGAGCTGCATGGGATGAAGGGAATTCCAGCAGACTCAGGGACCATGGCTGGGAAAATACTTGCTTTCCTCAAAAGACAGATTTAAAATTTATAAAAAAAGAGAGAGAGGCAATTTGAGACCCGAGGAAATGTGCTCTTGTACATTACCAGCAAATATATATATATTCTATATACACATATATTTTAAATACTGACAAGACAGTTTCTGTTTTCCATGTTATTATTAAAGCCCTGGCAGTTATAAACATAGACTTCTTCAAAAAGCTTGAAACATAATTCTTTGGCGAGCATCTTCTGCACACGTGTGCTTTCCATTCACTCTGTGTGTATTCACAGCTTATGTAAGTGTGTGGTATGCAGGCAAGCACACATGTATGGGAGAGACCACCTCCTGAATTCTTCCTAAGACCATCCGCTTTGTCTTTTCAGACCAGGTCTCTTCGCTGTGACTTGGGGCTCACCAGTGTAGGTTCACACTGGCTGCTCAGAGAGCCACCTGTCTGTGCCTCCTTAGCTCTTGACTTACAGTGTATACCACTACACCCAGCTTTTTCCAAAGGCTGCTGAGGACTTAAGTCCTTATATTTGCATAGAAAGCACTTTATTGATATAGCTATTTTCCATCCCTGCAAAGTCATGCTTTATATAATTCAACATTCATTTCTTTATTTCGTCACTTGTCATCTTCAGTATGCTATTTTGCTATACACTTCAGCTAGTATGTTTGATGACATGTAATTAGCAAAGCTACAAAGCTTTAGTTCATTTATATCAATGCATATGCACATTTTACTTCTCAGCAAGACTAGGCTTTACCGATTAATTTTTATTTATTTTTCTAAGTACCTCCCCTGGCTGTTAGGTGAAACAACACTTAGCCCTACATTATTCTTTGTTTAATTCATTTGTTACATAACTCAATAGCAATAAAATAGTGCATTCTTCACTCATCTTTCTAGTCTCCAAACTTAATTCCAGGGATTTTTGATAAACTTCCAAATGTTGAACATGCCAGTTTTCGTCCCCAGTACCATGTCTGCAGGGGCAGGAAGTCTGGGAACCATAAATATCAAGTCTAGCTTGTTGAATTCCCAGGCTAGCCCAACTGTCTCAGAGATGTGGAAACAGGCACTAAGATTATAAAAACCTGACACTTATTGAACTGTTACTATGAATCATCTTAAGCACCTTACACATGGTTTCTAATTTTTATTTCATGAAAACAATGTAGGGTAGGTATTATTGTCATGCTTAGAAAAAGAGTCTTAGAAGGGAAGTGTATTTAAGGGCACAGAAGTCAACAATGACTGTAACCCTGGCAGATAAAGTCTAGGTACCACAAATTTAATCTACCAAATGATGGGACTACAAAGAGGAATTACTGATTAATTTATTTTTGGTTTTGAAATAGGGTCCTGAGTATTCCAGGCTCACCTTGAACTCACAAAGTAGCAAAAAATGTACTGGAACTTCTGACCCACCTATCTCCACTTCTTGAGTGCTGAGATTTCAAGTGTATGTGGTATTGGGAATTGAGCCAAGGGCTACCTGAATGATAGGCAAGTATCCTAACACCCAAGCTACATCCCAGTTCAGAACTACTGACTTCTGATATGATTTTCTTCCTCCCTCTCTGCTCTTCTTCTTTTTCTCCCTCCATTTATTCCTTTCTTCCTTTCTTTCCAAAATATTTTCTCTGTGCTCCAGAAAGTTCTATGAAACCTGTTTGGCAGAAAGTTTGGCACATAAACTTTTCTATGTGTTGTCTGAAGAGAGTGATTCTGTTTTAAACAATAACAAGGAATTCTATCTGGGAGACTGATTTTGACTTATTTCCCAATATTTCCACTTCCTGGGATGCTTGAGAATACTCATAGCTTCCCTATGACCAAGTGCCAAGGACCTGCAATGATTCACCAATTTGCACATGACATCAGTGTCACTGTTTTGTGGTCAATGAACTTCATATATTTGCTTCAGAGTGCCATACCTGCCTACTAATCAGAGGCAAAAATAACTAGTGGGACAAAAATCCAAATAAATAAAATGATGAGGAAGTAAAACTTAATTTCAAAGGATTTTAACACAATGCAAAATACCCCAAACACTTAACAACTGACAGAGGCACTCAACACAGGCTTGTTTGAACAATCAAATAAACAGATAAAGAAGGAAGGAAGCTATAAGCCATCTATTCATGGTCAAGAATAAAAAGGGCGTGTATGCACTTATTACCCGACTGATCTAAAATGCTTTTGTTGTTTTGGCACAAAGCACAATTTCTGAGCTCTTTCAACTTGTCCTATGAGCAAGAAAATGGATAAAACATGTCAGCAGTGTCTACTTAAGAAAAGTAAAGTTTAAAGGATTCTATATTCTGTATCTTCAAAATTCTCAGACTTTTGTTAGAATTTTACATATATTGCTTTCTCAGATACTCATAAAAAGCCACTGGGGGAGAAAAGCCCTCAGGAACAGCATTCATCTCTTTTACAAATGATAAAACAAGCCTCTATAATTCATTCAGAACAAAGGGAGTATGCCTTAGAGTCCAGGCTTCCAAGACAAGTTACTGAAGGGACAAAAGACAACTCAGTAGATGGTGACTTTTAAAGACCAAGCAAGGTACTACATTGATTCAGATCCCTCCTGAAGATTTCTAAAAGGTTTCAGCTGGGCTGTGGACACTCAGAATTGTGTGTGCCAGCGTGCATTCCCTGAATAACACTGTAAAAATAAAATTTATTATCTACAGGGATGTCTTGATGTCAGAAAAGAGGAGGTATTGTGATCATGTGTCAAAAGCCAATTGATCACCGGACAAAAGGTCTATGATGGCATCATGTTGGCAAGATTGATTGCTTCTTAGTGCCCAGGCTCTGCAGATGCTTCTCCACCAAACGATGCTTCTCACTGGGAGGTTTTGTAGATAAAAGAATTTAAGAAAGCAATTTCTTGAGTGCAGTCAAACATCTTTCCTTATATTGACAATCTCCATTTCCAGCAAATTTCCAGGTGATGCTGACCATTGCTGTTCTCGGAGTCATTGAGAAACACTGATATAGAGGATGTGGCCTCTCTAATGTCCTTTTGTACTTAGCCTGTCCAAAGTGTGAAGGGCAATTGTATATTGTATATTGTACAGTCTGTATATTTTACAGTCTCATTATTCATGCCCCTTCATTATTGTATAGCAAAACTACAACATTTTCAAATCTATCTGTTCTAAACATTGATTCAGAGGATGATGAAAAATGAATACACTACCTGTCTTTGAAACTGTTTGGTTTTGCACTTGGATCTTAAAGCCATGGGTACAAATGTCAATGTCTATTTTTATTGTGTCAAAAAAGTTTTAGCACAGCATGGAAATATAAACTGGATCTCCTACTTATACCCCTCAAAAGCCCTTTGTTTTCTCTGTGGAATGTCCTATCCCTGACATTGTGTGATAGGTAATATAGTACTCTCCTTACAGTCTCTAAACATTGTAACTATTTCTTCTATTTGATGTCTTTTTTGGTTACAGTATATTTGAAATTCTATACAAAATGTATGGAGCTAGTACAAAGAATAATGACAACTGAATGTTACTGTTTATCAGAGTTTAAACTGTGATTTCTACAGTGTTTCTTACCATCTCTTATGATGAGCTTGTCATAGGAACAGTTAAGCTGAAATTCAATGTCCATGGAGAGAATGTTGAGTTCCACAGTAGAATCGGGAGCATAAATGATCCATGTACAATCAGCACTATTACCGTACTGCCCAGGCCAGCCCGGGGAGAAAAAAAAGCCAGGAGCATCTCCTGTCGTCATATACCCTCCACAAGCACCTATAGAAGGAAAAGCAGCATCTTTAAGCATCTTGTCCAGGGAGTGCTTCAAAATGGCTGCGCTCTGGGCCTGAGAGATAATACATAGTTAAAAGCACTTCCTTCTCATCCAGAAGTCCTGACTTACATTCCCAGTACCTATGTCAGGCAGCTCACAACCACTTCAAACATCATCTCCAGGAAACCTAATCTCTCTTCTGGCCTGTATGGGCACTGAGTGTAGACATACCGACACACACACACACACACACACACACACACACACACACACACACACA